CTTTGAGCCCAAGCAGCGAGACGCAGCTCCATGACCTGCCCATCCTTTTCTCCTCCTCTCCAGGTTCACTTACTGGCCACTGCGGCTTCAGGTTAGTTTTGGCGCTCACCCTGACAGTGATCCTGGAGCTCACGTGAAGCTTCACCTGCCTCTTCCTCCTTCTCTTCCTCCTCCATACGGCTCCACCCGGCATCTCCACCTCCGTCCATCGGTTCTCTCGCTCTTTTTTTTTTCTAATCTATTTACAGTCTCAATCTCTTCCCGTTCTGTGTCTTGGCTTCCTCAGACAATTTAATTAAAGGGAAAAAGAAAAACCTCCCCTGGTAGAAGGTTGTAATTAATGTTTTACCTTGTGCTGGGGTTCCCAGCACTGTCTCAGGGTACCTGCAGGCTTTGCGAGGTCTTAGAGGGGGATGGGGGATGTCTATGATTCAAGGACCAAATTTCCCCTGGAAAAATCCGGTTACACTGTTCCCACTGCACCAAGATGCTCCAGATCCACAGGGGAAGGCCCTGCACGTGTCCCCAGCGTGAGGGAGGTTGGGGACAAGCCCACACACGTGTGGGTGGCAGCGCTGGGAGCCCAAAAGCTGCGGATCACTGGCCTTCCCGAGGCTGGGCTGGGGGAAGCGGCTTTGCTGGGAGCCAGGGCCGTGCACAGCACTCGTCCCGGGCTGGTGGCGAATCACAAGTGACAGGCAGCTCCCAACCCAAAATGTCAGCGCTCACACATGAGTGGGCAGCGGGTCCCATCAGGCACCAGCCTGCACCCACCCCTGCTCCGTGCCACCCTCCCCGTCCCTCCTGGCTAATCATCTCCATGGAAACGGATAACGGTCCAGCACAGACAGATGTCCGATATTCCCGTGGCCCCCAGTCCCGGCAGGGCGTTAGTCCTGCTGCAGGATGGCAAAACCCAGGTGGGTTTGTCCCAGTCCTGCCCAGCGCTGGAGGATGCCTACGGAGGATACCCAGAGTTTTCCCTGTTTTCCTGCCCCGTGGTACCCTGAGAGCATCCGGGATCCCTGGAGAGCAGATGCAGGGGGGAAAGGATCCCAAGGACGGGGCGCTCCCCTGCCTTTTCCTCTGGGAACTCCTAATCCTAGAGGATTATCCAGCAGCCGTGTGGCGCTTCATCTTCCCAAAGCCCCGGACGAGTGCTAAGCATCATTATTACTATTATGATTAATTATTATTAAGCAGATTCCATCCCTTCCCTGCTCTGTTGCCAACCTCGCTGTGAGCAATTTCCCAGCCCCAAAGGAGCCCAACAACCACTCGGCAGCTCAGGAGCTTCTTCCTGGCCACAAAAGCCCACAGTTTATAATTTGGACTGGAAGCAACACAGGGATGGATTGGGACTGGCTGGGATGTGGGAGGATCAGCAGCTCCACTTTCATCCTGAAGGAACAGCATCTGAGTATCCAGATCCCTACAGACCTGCTTCTTCTCCAGCTGCTTCCACTGTTCCTCCCTGGATGAGAGGAAAATCTTCATTTTTTTAGAGGAACCTTCATTTTTTGGGGAACTCTCCGTGACTCAACTTACACCCCTGGGACAGAGCGGGCAGGAGGGCCCCCCCACCACACCGTGGATGCTTCTCGCCCTGCTCGCTGGATTGGAGATGCTCCAGGGGCCTCATCCCGACGTGATTAAACAACCATTAGGCCTCCTCGCTCCAAACAATGAGGATTTACAGGCGTCCAAACCTCCATTTAAATGCAAATGCGGCGGGTTTAGCCCGGCACCGTGGAAATGAGGAGCTTTGCGGCGGCGGTGCCACCACGGCCAGCTCTGCTTGGTGGCCCCTCGGGAGCGCCGTGACCTTCCCCTCCAGCAGCTGGGAGAGGAACGGTGGGCTCAGTGGTCCTGCATCCCAAATCCACCCCACTTTGGGATGCTCAGCTCCTTCCCCGGGGATGGGCCCATCTATGGGTTGGGATCTTCTCCCCATCAGCACAGGGGACTTGGGAGCCCCTCCTCATCCCGGGCAGACGTCCTGCCTGCTTTCCCAAATCCCCCCCAAGGCAAGGGGCCCAAAGAGATGCCAGCCCACCGAAGGAACCCATCCACGCCCTGCTGGACCCTGCCTTCACCTCCTTCCCACCCCTTCTCATCCTCCACCCACCACCCGCCAGCCCTCCCTCCCCCACCCCCAGCCACCTTCCTCCAGGTAATTACAAAGGACAACAATTAAATCCCCGGTTCCCCCCTACCACACATCCTGTTGTCTGAGGCCCTGGCAGTGAATAATGCAGGAGGCTGGAGGGGAAAAGAGCTGCTCAGGTTGTTTCATTATTGATGAGAGATGACAGATCCGCGGCTGACAACCTACCGAAGAGATATGATTAGCTTGTAAAAAATTAAGCGCCTTTCTGAGGGCTGACGAGAGCTGAAAACCCCAAGGAGCGGCGTTATCGATGTTCCCTCATTTCAGGGGACTTTGAAAAGGTTTTAGCAAAATTTGGAAGAGGTAATTACATTCAATTAGAGTCACAAGTGCCGAGACGTCACCGCTGCTTCTCCTGCTCCCCGACACCACCGATCATCCTTCCCACAAGCAGAGATAAATAGGGGTTTATGTGTTGGACCTGAATTTCTGCCATGAGTTCTTTGGGATACGAGGGTGTGGGACACAAAACCAGGGATTCTCTGGCTCAGTAGGGTTGGGAAAGGCAGTGGGAGCTTTGCTTGGTGCTTCCCCTGCCTCCCCCACCTCATTACCGGGCCGGGGTTCACGGGGCTGCCAAGCACATGCATAATTCATACTTCCCAACTCTCAAATGCCGGGATCTTTGTAGATCTTCCTGCAGAATAAAAACCACGGCAGGAGAGACGAAGAAACCGGGGGTCAGGGGGGTGGCCAGACCCTTTGCCAATTAGCCAAGCCCCGAAACACGTGCCCAGACTCAATACATGTCCCTGTTACCCTCAGCTTCAGGTCCTTCTGGGTTTACAGGTAGGAGGGACACCCCTTTTCCCAAGGTTTTGGCCAGACTAAGCCCCCAGTGATAGATTTTTGGGCCCTGTGCCAAATAGGATGGAGGAGAGTGGCTGGGTGGGTTTGGCTGGTGCTGGTTTGGCCTCTGGTGCGAGCTCCAGATGCATCCAAGGGATACATCACACCATCCCTGCTCCAAAGTCCAACTTTTAGTCTAAATATCCTCCTCCCCTCAATCTCTTCATTGCTGCATTTCCCCACACAAGGTGACAACATCCCAAACATTCCCCCAGAAGCCGCTGGTGGGCTCTCCCTGCTGCCAGCAGGGATGTGCACAGGGGTCCCCGAGTGCCAATCCAGCACTGGGAGGTTACACCAAGGCTTCTTTTCCATCCTCTTTATATAGATATATAAATATTTTGCTATTTAGAACACGATCCTCCACCCAAGGAGCATCCCTGGCAGGTTTGGAGTCAGATACACATCCAGCCCCTCTGGCAGAACCATGGGCCCTGTCCAAACCCATCCCGGGAAGTTCAGCCCCTCAGCAGGGGCAGGGGACCCTCCCAGCCCTTGCAGGTGCTGGGGGGGGACACGTGCCCCGGGGGGGTTCAGCTGCTCCTCCCCACCCCAAAGGGCAGTGCCCGGGCTCTGAGGGGCTGCTGGGGATCAGACGCTCCGGGGTGGGGGGAGGGCACTGCCAGTGAGCTCCTGAGCACCCACCATCCATGGAAGACCCGTGGCAAGACCTCCTCCCACCACACCTACCCACGACCTGTGCAGCTGGGACACATCACACCCGGCCTGTCATAACGTCACCTGGGTTCATTTTGCAGGAAAATCCCACTGGATCGGGACTGAGCGAGCAGGAAGTGAGTCCCTGCATAGAAACAGGAGCTTCCACACCCCACCCCCCCACACACACATTTTGGCTGTTTCTTTGCTCCCTCGTTTCTTTCTGGATCTCTCAGCATGTGAGAGGTTCCCCTCAGGGAAAGGAAATTCAGTTTATCCCTTTGAATTCCACTCACTCAGGGATCTCCTGGGCAGCAGCACAGCCAGCGTGGTGGGGAGCAAAGCCATTCCCCAAGCTCCCTCCTTTTCTCCCCTGCCACAGTCCAAGCACTGGGCCCCGGTTGCCCTGGGGACAACAGGGACAACAATCCCCCTAAATCTTTGGAATTCAGACCATGCTCATTGTCAACATCTTCCCAGGGGGAGAAGGAAGCAAGTGTGGCACAGCCTGGCATCCTCCTGCCTCAGTTTCCCCACAGTGACTCCAGTCCCCATGGATACCCTACACACATCTCTCCCATCCCTTCCCATCCCTTATCTCTTCCTGATCCTAATGCTTGTGTTTCCTTTCCTTGGTCCATCCCTCTCCTCCTGCCCACGGATGCAGGTCGCTGATCCCAGCAGCCACCAGCTGCAGTTTAACTCCTGCCTTTATTTTCTCCTCAGTGCCAGGCTTTTATCCCTCTCAAAGCCCCCAGATCCTTTTCCACCAGCTCTTAATTCCCCTGCCACTTCCAAGCTGGCCTCCAAGAGACCCCGGGAGCTTCCGGGCTATTTCCCGTCACCCTTCGTTAACTTCGTGCCGCAAACGGAGGCCCCGGATCCGCCACCCGGCCCCCGCGGAGCAGCTGCTCGGCGTCAGACCAAAGGTCTCCCGGCTCCGGCCGCTCTCCCTCCCTTCCCTGTGTCTGCACCGAGGGATGAGAAGCATTTTCAAACAACAACTTTTCTCCGCAGCAACAGTTTCCTCCTCCCGTTATGCGATCCTTTTCAAACAGCGGCAGAAATGAGGAGGCGGTACCTCGGGCTGCTCCGAGGGGATACTTTTCCTCCCTTTGTGCTTCCTGTTGCTTTTCCCTGAGCCTCTCTGTTTCCCAGGCTCATAAAGCCGGCTCTGTGCCACCTGCTCTGGGCTGCACCTTTCCCTGGAGCCCAGCCCAGCCCAGCCCAGACACGCAAAGCTGGTCCGGAAACCTCCTCCGGCTTTGCCCCCCGCTCAAAGTCACCTTGTCCCAAACCTTCGGCTCCACACTTCGGCCTCGCCCGGCAATCATTAATCGGCCGCTCCGCATTCCCGGGATGGAAAAATGCCCCAGCGGGCAGCCGTGCCCTGGCAGTCCGACATGCCGCTGGCCGGGAAGCTGCTCCTGTCCGCTGCCGCACTGCTCCTCCTCACCCTGGCCTTCAGGTTCTACAGGAGCCGCTCGCTCGCCGGGGGCAAAACCCCGCTGGCTGACGAGGGACAGCCCGGGGAAAACCTTCCCCGGGCCGGGGATGGGGATGGGGATAAGAATGGGGATAAGGATGGGGATGGGGCAGTGGGTCCGCGGCGGAGGAGGGTGTGGGGTGAGGAGGTGAGGAGGGGTGGTGGGGATGCCCCAGGAAGCATCCCTGGGACGCGGCTCCCGCCCCTCTGGGGGGATCCAAGGGCGCTGAGCGGGGAGGAGCAGGGAGAGGAGATGGTTCCTGAACAGGGACTGACCCGCGGGACAGCCCGGCTCGGTCCCGCCGGGAGGGAAAGGGAGCTGGGGAGGGAGCTGGGAAGCAGGCTGGGATGTGAGCTGGGAAGTAAGTCAGAAGGCAAGCCAGGAATTGAGCAGGGAAGTGATCCAGGTATTGAGCCAGGAAGCAAGTTGGGAAATGAGCTGCAAAATGAGTTGGGAAGTGAGCCGGGAAGCAAGCTGGGAAGTAAGTCAGGAAGCAAGCTGGGAATCAAGCCGGGAAATAATCCAGGAAGCATGTTGGTATACAAGCTAGGAAATGAGTCAGGAAGTGAGCTGGGAAGTAAGTCAGGAACTAAGTCAGGAAGCAAACTAGGAAATGAGGCAGGAAATAAGCTGGCAAGCAAGCCAGAAAGCAAGCTGGGAAGTAAGTTTGGAACTAAGCCAGGAATTGAGCAGGGAAGTGATCTGGAAAGCAAGTTGGGAAGCAAGCTAGGAAATGAGGCAGGAAGTGAGTGGGCAAGTGAGCCGGGAAGCAAGCTGGGAAACGATCTGGGAATGGAGCTGGGAACTGAGCCGAGCTCTCACGACCCTGGGAACGTGGCTGAAACACTGAGCAGCCATTCCGAGAAGGAAACACTTGCCCCAAGCACCGGGGTCTCCCCAGGGATTTCCAATGCCCAGATGGCAGATGATGGATGTTCCCAGAGCACGGAGAAGGATTTGGCTGGTGGAAGCATGAGCAGGGAGACCAAGGGGAACAGGGAATCCATCCGGACCCTCAGTGTCACCTCGAACCTGGGGCTGCTGATGACAGCGAGTGATGCAGAGTCCGACTCCTCCTACTCCTTCTCCTCAGTCGCAAAGATCCAGGTGGAGGAGAACTACATCCCCGAGAGGCAGGGGAAGGACAGGGACAACCGGACGGTTCCCGGGCTCAGAGGCAAAGTCTACGACTACTACGTGCAGTCCATCTCCGAGTCGGTGCTGAAGAAGAAGTGTCTCCCCTACATCCCTCCGGGAATGTCCCGGTGTCGCAGCTCTGAGCGGGTCAATGAAGAGCTGCAGAGCTTTGCAACCCAGAAGCAGGACCCAGCTTTGGAAGCACGTGATCCCACCACCTCCTCCACAGTCCCACCACCCACGAGGAGCTCAGAGGCCTCTCCTGAGCCACCGTCTCCCGGCCGCAGGAAGAGCATCCTCCAGATTGCCAACAGCCCCCACCTCCAGCTGCCCATGGAGGGGTTTGGGATCACAGCTCCAGCTGGAACACCACCACCTGGAAGCCCCCAGCCAGGACTGGTGGCAAGTCCTGACCCCACCCAGCTGCCACCAGACACCCCCCTGGATCTGGGGAACTGCTACGAGGTGCTCAGCACAGCCAAGGCGCAGGGGCTCAGAGCCCTCCAGGAGGCTGCCTACAGGGTGATGAGTGACAACTACCTGCAGGTGCTGAGGACACCCTCCATCTACGGCCGCCTCAACGCCGGCGAGCGGGAGCTGATCCTGCGGCGGAGGATGGAGGGGAAGATGTTCGTGGTGGTGGCAGATGTCACGGGCAGGAGCCCGACCTCCGCCCCGGCCGCCTCTGCTACTACGACGAGGGAGGGGACTGCTGGCACCACCTCTGCCACGTGCCACCCGAGGTGCTGTCCCGGGGCTGTGCCATGTGCAGCATGTTCAACTACCTCTTCGTGGTGTCCGGCTGCGAGGGCACGGGCCGGGCACGGAGACCCTCCAACCGCGTCTTCTGCTACGACCCCCTGACCGACATCTGGAGGGAGATCTGCCCCCTGAACCAGGCGCGGCCCCGCTGCAAACTCATCGCTCTGGACGGGCACCTGTACGCCATCGGCGGCGAGTGCCTGTGCACAGTGGAGTGCTACGACCCCCGGCGCGACCGCTGGGCCTTCGCGGCGCCGCTGCCCCACGACACGTTCGCGGTGGCCCACACAGCCACGGCGTGCCACGGGGAAATCTACGTCACCGGGGGCACCCTGCGCTACGTCCTGCTGCGCTACGACCCCCGCCGGGACAGCTGGAGGGCCGGCCCGGCCGTGGGTGGCAGGGACGGGACGGCCGAGATGGTGAGCGCCGACGGCTTCATCTACCGCTTCGAGCGGCAGCGCGGCACGGGCGTCAGCGTCCACCGCTGCGGTGCCGGGGCCAGGCTGTGGTACCGCTGTGCCAACTACGCCCTGCCCAACCCACCCGGCTTCCAGTGCACCACCATGGGCAGCCTGGTCCACTGCCTCGGCCGCCGCCTCCACCTCCGCTTCCTGGCCGACCACGTCTCGCCGCGCTTCGGGGCCAAGGAGCTGCGGCCCTTCCCCGCGCCCCACGGCAGCCTCCTCCCGGCTGTGCTGGTGCTGCCGCAGGGAGGGACGGCACAGACTCGGGTCTGAGCGGCCGTGGTTTGGTCCTGTGAGATGACCGGTGGTGGCTCAGGTGCGACGTGATGGTCAGAGCCGGGAGGAGAAGCCACCGGCCCACTTTGCACCGTGTCACCCCCACCCTCCATCAAACAGGGACTGAGCAGGGAAACAAACTGCCCTTGGCCACTGCCAGGAACCCCAGCCTTGAGGACACAAGGAAGAGCAAAGCAGGAGCTGGGTGGGCTCGTTGGTGAGAGGTGTTTAAACACAGATGTGTTTGCTTGGATGCAAATAAACGCGGATCCCTGCAGGCTCCCAGCTGCTCACTGCCCCCGGAGTGGCTGCTCAGGCACCAGGTGTTCAATATTGACATGGACACGCAGCACATGGTGGATTTTAGGGTGGAGGAACATGGCAGGGAGGTTGGATCTCAAGGGAGGTACCACCCAAAGGTCAGCCTTGTCAGCACTGAGCCTTCAGGTTTGATCTCCCACATCCCCTGGGGTTGGAGCTTGGGGGCTGGGGGTGCCCTGCTCCTACCGGTGCCTTGTTATCCCTTACCTTCTCCTCAGAATGGAACTATATATATATATTTATATCTGTCTATGTATTTATACGCACGTGATGTAAATAGGCACTATGGATTTCTAGACAGCTGGTTTTAAATGAAATTAAAGAGAACATTTGGTAAAATTAACCAAGGGCTACTGCTGCGCCTCATTTCCAACCGTAGCCAAGTCTAATGGGAACAAAGCGCCCGATGCATGTTTTACATCACTAATTACTGCATGAACAGCAACTCTGTGGAGGCAACCAAAAGCAAACAAGGGCCCTGGATGTGAGCAGACGGTCCTTCATCACCTTTTTCCCAGGTCTCCTCGACTTCACTCCATCGTCTCCACGTCCTGCCAAAAGCCTACTTCGGGTAATTGCATTTTCTTCCCCTCAAACAGCTCGTCATCAGTCATCTGTCAGCCCCACACGGACCAAAGCAGCTCCAGACAGACAAGTCCCTCCCATACCTGCCTCCTCAGTGGCTGCAGGCCACGAGCATGAGCATGAAGTTGTGGACGTGTGTAAAGTGCTTGTACATAAAGATACGGTGCTGGAGCAGCCCCTGGTATCACCATTTATCAGAGAATCCCAGGGTGCTTCGGGTTGGAAGGGACCTTAAAGCTCATCCCATTCCACCCCCTGCCATGGGCAGGGACACCTTCCACTAGCCCAGGTTGCTCCAAGCCCCATCCAACCTGGCCTTGGACACTTCCAGGGATGGGGCAACCACAGCTCCCCTGGATAATTTGTGCCCCAGATCCCCTGGGTGATTTCTGCCCCAGCTCCCCTGGGTAATTCCCTCCCCGCTGCTCGGGTGCTTTAGGAAAGCCCCGGTTAATGTTCTCTTAAAGGGCTCCCAAAAGATTTATTACTTCATTTGGTCACTTCCTGGAGACCTCGTGTTCCCGCCTTCAAGGGCTTTGTGTGAAGGTCAGTGGCACCCACCCAGCGTTAGGAAACCTTGTGTTAATTAACCCTGCCTGAGCTTTGCTCCTCAGCTGGAGCTGCTGCTGCCGGAGGGTGATGCTCCCTCTCCCTGGGCTAAAAGCTTCCTCAGTCCAGCTTCTTCCTCCCACCATGGAGCCAGCCACCTCTTCCAACCCCAGGAGGACCATCCCAGCACTGCTGTGCCAGGACTGCAGCCTCCTGCATCCCAGGGTGGCTCTGTTTTATCAGCTTGGGCTGATAAACTTTACGAGTCAAAAAAACCTCCTTATTTTTATTGTTATTATGTAACTCCTTGTTCTTCAGTTCCCTCTCAAGCAGTCCTACTTCTCCCATGGCAAAACCCAGATGCCAGCTGCTGCCCTGGCACAGCCCAGCCCTTTGCAACCTGCAGAACTCTCCTGTCCCCATCGGCATCCCAGATTTTGGCATCCCTGTCCCCATCAGTTGGGTGCTGGGGAGCAGAGAATTCCCGGGCTGGGTGGGAGCTGGAGCCCTTCCAGGTGACAGCTTATTTTTTTCATCCCCACAAAAGCTTTCCCAGGATCCTGCCTTTCTCACGGGGCTTCTGTTTAATGTTTCACTTTCCCTTTAACTCCTTTGCTGCCAGGCTGAAAGCTCAGATCCAGCAGCTTTTCCTCATTCCCATTCCGATGGTAAGTGATGAACACCAAGGACGGAGGGGGGGCAGCTCTCCCCCCACTCCTGCACTCTCCAATATTAACAGGATTCGCCTGGGGAGGCATTTTGGAGATTAAAGATGCCTGGGGACATCCCGTGCTTGTTCTGCAGGGAAGGACAAGCGGGTTTGGAGCGAGAACACCTGCGGGAATGCTGTGGCTGAGGGGGACAGGACTCGTGGCTGACAGGGAAATGACTTCTGGCTGAGGCTGAGGGAAAGCAGAGGGGGAAGGACAAATGCAAAACGATACTCAGGCCTGGGTGGTTTGTTTTCTGCTCCCAAATACCAGCGCAGGGGAGGAGTCTTGGGAGGGCTGGCAGGTGTGGTGGCATCACCAGGCAACTCCTGTCACCAACACCGGGTGCCAGATGTCGATTCCCAGCTGTGCTGACATACAGCTTCGTGTTTCTGCTGGAACAGCTTCCAACCATGGACTTCCCACAGGTCCATGGAGCAGTTTCAGTGCACCTTAGACATCAGATATTCTTTATTTTCATTGATCGGGCAAAGCTGCCACAATTTACAGGGAAAAGAGGTGGGAGGCATATGGTGCATCCTGATGAACTCCACAGCCCCCCATGGAGATACAAACCACCCCCAGTGAGTCCAGGGAAGGATAAATACTTAGAGGTCACAATAGATCCAGCTGGGGTGGGGCTTTACCTGGGAGATCCTGCTCTTGGGAACCTTTTCGCTTGCTGCAAGAGCAGCCTCTCCAAGCCAGGCCCCCACTGCATCCAGGACCACCAGGAAGAGCTGACACTCCCAGCCCTGGGCTCGTGAGAGCTGGGAAAACCAAATTCCACCATCCACTAACAACCTTGGATCCTTGTAATTCCCTCAAGACAGTCCCAAGAATGCTTTGCAGCAAAGAGCTCCTTCATCACCAGAGCCTGGACCCATCACTGCCCTCCAGCCCCCTCTGCTTGGTTCATCTCCCCCCCCCGAAAAATGATGCAACTACCAAACTGTGCTGCTCTGCGACCAAATATAACCTCGGCATGAAATTCAGTATTTTTCTTCTAATCAGGAAGGCCCATTATCTGCCCCCACCATGTTTATTTAGCCAATTACATGGTTTCATGTACATTGATTCAAATTCTCAATTTTTACATTTTTGATTATGATAAAAACCCGGCGAGTGACACGTTCCTTGTTTGCTCGTCGCTCTCTTTGCCTTCGCCCCGTGAATGGCAATTGGGAGGCAATTAAAGAAGTGCAAACCCAGCATTTTAAAATCTTTTTATTAGTTAAACACAACTACCTTCAATGCTTTGGCTACAGCAGGGTGAGAAAAAAAAAAGACCCAAAAAGCGAAAAACGAGCTTATCCAGACACGTTCTGCATTGAAAATTGACGCCACACATGAAAGAAATATTAAGCGTAGCCAACTGACAAATTAAGTGTCTCGTTTCTGACAAGCAGGAGCAAAGCTGTGTCAGTGCTTGAGGAGCCGGGTGGGAATTTAAAGCCAGGGGCAGGGAAAGAAAGACCCGCGGCAGCAGCTTTGGGTGCTGGAAGGGAGGTGACACCTCCCAGCCCCTGATCCTTGTTTCTCCCAGACCCTCTGGAGAGTTGTCTACAAACGTATCTACACTGCCAGGGGTTGTGCTGCCATCAGAAGGTTCCATGAGATGTTTAAAGTCAAGGAATCAGAGAGTCATTGAGGCTGGAAAAGATCTCCAAGGTCATCAACCTTTGAGCAAACACCCCGTGCCCACCAAACCAGGTCACCCAGTGCAACATCCACGTGTTTTCTGAGTGCTGCTAGGGATGGTGACTCCACCACTTCCCTGGGAAGGCTATTCCAGCGCTTCACCACTCTTTCAGTGAAGAAATCTTTCCTAATATCCAACCTGAACCTTCCCTGGTACAGCCTGAGGCCGTTTCCCCATGTCCTGTTGTGTGGGAGAGGCCGACTCCCACCCAGCCACGAGGAGGACAGATTTCCCGTCCTCTCCCACTCCTTTCTTCACTCTCCTGCACCTAATCCAGTGACCCCTGGAGGCACCAACCTCAGCCTTTCTCCAGAGTTCACACCAGGAGCAGCCCCGCTGTGCAGACAGAGCCGCTCCCTCCTTCCCAAGCCGATCCTGACAAACCAGGGCTCAGCACAAGGCCCGGACCTGCTGCCCGGTGCCAGGGGGCCGCTTCCTGGCAGCAGGCAGAGGGAAGCGCTCCGGGAAGGGCAGCCAGCTCCTCGGAGCGCGGGGAGGTCAGCGCTAATGAAAGATGCTATCGCAGCGCCGGCGTCCCGCCAGCCCCGAATTAGCGGCGTTTGCAAAGACAAACCTTGCCGAGGACGGGGGGAGGGGAGCACATCCCCCTGCGATCGTTTTAGGGAAAAAACACGGCCGTTTGGAGGCTTTCCAAGCTGGAATAACAGCCTGGCCAATGAGTGTTTAATTAAAACCCCGCCGGCGTTCGGAGGGAGAAGGGCTGCGAGTGAATAAGCACCGTGATAAAATAAGCACCGACTCCGGCGTTAAGTTCTCCCTCCCTGGCACAAGGCTCGGTTTAAACCCTTGATGGTTTTTGATTCACAAGCTCCAGCGAGGAGGGAACATTTGCCAGGCACTATTTCAATCCCGGTGGGAGTTTTTTCTGGGGGTTATGGCCACACTGTAGTTTAGGATGTGTCAGCGCTGGCATCATAAACACACATCAGAAGCACTATAAAAGGAGGAAAAAAGACCCAGAAACACACTCCTGGCTGGGTTTTTGCATCCTGAGAGCTCAGGCCAAAGGCAAATTATTTCTCCGTTACTGAAATAAAATCAATAAAGCTCATTTTTATTTACAGAAGAGCCAAAGGGGGAGAGCGGAAATCTCCGGGAGCTGCAGGAGGAGGAGAGAGGGGTTTATGGTTCTCAGCTGGTTTTGGACCAAAACCACAAGGCACCAGGCAGTGATTCCAAGGTGAAAAGCAGCAGTTGGGCTCTTCCCAGCTGCCTTTCATGGACCTTATTGAAATATCTCCAAGTCCCTGCAGTTCAGTCTCCTCTTGCAGCTCCTGTTCAGGTGGCGAACGGCAACACCCACCACAGATCCCACCCAAACCCTGCCCAGGAGAGAATCCCTCAGCCCCTGAGAGCTCCTTCATCCATCCCAAGGAACAGGACACCCCACCAACCAAAGGATGGTGGCAAGGAGGACACGAGCTGGATGTGATCCCAAGGAGACAGCAGGCACCATAGCGGGATGAGATGCTGGATTTCTCCATGGCTGAGGGATCTCCCGGTGAACAGCCCCATCCCAAGCCGAGGGGAAGCCTCTCCCTCAGGTCCGTCTAGTTCTGGATCTCACAATCTTCCTGAGTTCTCATTGTTTCATTAAATCTCTGCTTAGTTTACGGTGTCTCTAAGCAGTGGACACGCCGGGAACATCCTTGCCTGGATAAGAGGAGATGGA